CCCCTCGCAGTTTGTTTACAAGTATCAAAGTTGTAATTGAGGAGCTGCCAAGACACATCTGGATATTTTCTTCTTCTTCTCCTTCTTCTTCTTTGTGTTAGGGACTGATGTGCAACTAATTAAAGGCAGACAGGCTGGTAGCGCCTGCAATTTCAAGCCCCCCCAAATAAAGAGCCTGGTAAGTGACCGGTTTGCTTTCCTCCCCCCCTTTTCTCCCCCCCGTTTTTTTTTTCTTTTTTTTTGGGGGGGGGAGGGGGAGCGTTTTGTTTTTCATTTTGTGCCTTTGCTGGGGGCTGCTTTTCTTTTCTTTTTTTTTTTTTGTTGTTCTTGTCCTCTGGGATCGTGAAAGTAGATTAATGCTCGACTTGGGCAATAAAAGGCGCCGCAATATTAATGTATTAATTAATCTGCACCCGCCCCTCCTCCTGAATGTTAAATATGACCTTTGATCTCTGTGTCTTTGGCAGACCAGACGTGCAATATTGAACATGTACGGTCACATTTGACTTAGGCAGCAATAGAATTGTGAAGTCCGGGTAGCAATTTATTTTATTTTATTCGGCAAAATGAGGGTTATAGTTGAGGGGGGAAAAAATCAATAACTACGCCTCAGGTCCCCTTTTCATGCTCTGGAGATGCATCGATTAAACAATAATGACCTGGTTGGTGGGCACCATCATTTCCCCGTTTCTGGTGGCTGTAGACCTGGAAAGGGGGCCTGGGGGCGACAGGAGGCAGCCAGCAAGGAAAGCTTTTGTGGAGAGAAGCCACTTAAATGCTAGGGGGGAAATAGGGCAAGAAAATGCGTGTGCTACTTTAGTTCCCGCATAAAAGGCTAACCGCTCGCGTTTTATTCCCTGCCAGATGCGTGCTTTTTCTACATACGCTTGGCAAAACTAGTTTTATGGAGCAGTCGCTATTAAGGACACGCGGCTGCGTCCGCGCCGGTGGCACCGGCGGCTTTCGCTCCTTTTGCTCCCCGCAACCCGCTCGCGTCTCCGCGGAGCGGAGCCCGGGGCAGCCTTTGTATCGGCACCGGCGGCCGCCGCGCGTGGCGCGCGCTGCTCCCGCCGCCGCTCTCCGCTTACCCCCCCCTTTTTTATTTTCCCCGGTTCAACGATGCACGTTATTTCCTGACCCAGCCAAGGGTGAGGTTTCTCGTTGAGCTTTTACTCTCCCTTAATCTGGATTTGTTTACATAAACCCTGCTTTTTAGCGCGCAGCATCAGGAGGGGGATGAAGTTTTTGCATTCGGTAGGTTGGGCTGCGAACGGTTCATTAATCTAATTATGATCGTAATTACTGTAATTGATAACCGTTTTGAACTAAACGCACCGGCGTCTCGAAACTGCGCGCGGCCCCATTAGCGCCTCTGGAGTAAACGTCTCCGATCAACGGCCATAAATCGGAAAAGGTGCTGGATATACCTAAAGTATCCAGGTAAAGAAGCCTGCGAAACAAAGAGGCAGTGTGCAGAAACCGAAGGCTTTTTAAGTTATGTTTACATTTTGCTGTAGTTCACGGAGGCTGCAACGATGCACCTTTCTCGTTGCCAGAAACTAAAACATCCCCCTTCACCTCCTAGGAGCGGCCTAGGGGAAATTAAACGGGCACCGCATCCTTATTCCCTCCGTAAACTTTGCTAAAATGGGAATTCAGTACATAAATTAGAACAAAAAGCCGTCCTCCCG